CCAGAGCTGCAGATCACTGACACAGAAAGTTGAAGCAGGGTACAGGAAGATCATAGGCCAGTGGGTGCAGAGTTGAGTGGATCCAAAGTCAGTGGAAATACAGCAGGCCACCAATGGCTCTCAAGTCCAGGTGGCCCACATGACACCGCCCCTGGAGGCAGGCACAGAGTCCCAGCAAACAGGAAGGCAAAGGGTCAGAGAAAGGTGGGGAGGACCCCAATGTCTTATAAAAAGGCTGCATCTCCCAGGTGATTGACAGGTTGGACTTCACCCTTACACAAGTACAGGTTGACATAATCAAAAGATTAGATGAGAACCCTAGAGGGCTGTGAGTTTTTGGTTGGAAGAACAACTCAGAAAAGGAAGAAGAAATGTAAAATCTGTGAATATAATCAACATACATGTAAAACTGTTGACTAGATGCACATTTTGCTATGTATATTTTCAGCACAAAATAAAAAATTTTTAAAGCAATTTTAAAGTCATAAAGTTCCTGGAAGAAAACCTAGTGGCAATATTATAGGACTTTGTTTTTTGTTTTCTAATGGTAGCTTAAAACTCACAACTTCAAATGCAGAAGACAAAATGGATAATGGAACCTTAAAAACTAAGCACTTACGCTCATCAAAAGAGTGAAATAAAACCTACAGATTGAGGGGTGGTCGTGGAATCTCCAGGAGTGATAAAGCCATTGTGTTAGTCAAGGTTAACTAGAGAAACAAATTTAGACACTCATGTATATAAGAAAGTTTTATATACAAGAGCAATTGGATATTGAGAAAACATCCCTGCTCAGTCCAGATCAAGTCCATAAGTCCAGTATTACCCCATATGTCCCATACCAGTCTATAAATTTCTCATCAGATGCACACAACACATGCAATGAGGCCAAATGCAGGAAGATCATTGGCCAATGGGTGGAAAGTCTTGTGGGTCCAGTGGTGGTATAAGCATCTCAGTGATGGCTTGGGTTTCCATGTGTCTCCTCCAGCTCCAGGGCTCTCGCGTAGTTCCATGTGTCTAGTCATCACGAATACCAAGCAGAGTGTGTGTGTCCCGCCTCCAGCAAGCTATTTATCTCTGTAGTGCCTCCAAATGAGCTCATCAAGCAGTAACTGATTTACAGGCCAG